ATTTGAGAAGAGAAGAGCGCATGACTTCAAATTTGGGGATTGAGGCGACTCCACTGCGACTAGCTTAAACCCTAAACCTAAACCTCCGGCTCTCGGTGTCTCAGCTATTGGAATCGGGAGATTTATCATGAATTTCGACGACAAGCTCTGGACGATTGGGGTCGATTTTTTTCGTGGTTTTTAATGTATCCGCCCCGCAAATTTTGGGGTATTGCAAAATAATCTCGAGGTTTTGCTATTTTACTAGCTAGTGCGCACCCATGCAAAGCACGACCTCCATTTTTTTATTTCCGCCACAGTAATTCTGTATTTAAATTCAGTTTTTGTACGTGCTGTAGTAACGCTTTTAAATGCTACAGTATCCCACCTTAACTGTAGTAAAAATACTACATTAATGTTTTTAACACTATAATTCTCGCATGTGTTACAGAAATTTGTTGTAGCGTGAATAGTGAATCTTGGATCCTACTGTCTGTGCTACAGAAACACTGCTGCAGTGATTTACTGTAGTTTTTTTTTTCCTGCAGCATGAATAGTGAATCTTAGATCCTCTCGTTATTCCGTTATTATAGAGGAATAGATTGGATTGGATTTTTTTAAATATATTCTTCATTTTTCCAAATTCTTTTAAATTGCTAATTAGCTTTTCATTTTTTTTATTTCATTTATATTCAAAATTATTAGAAGATTTCCCCCACTCTTCATCTTTCTATTCTAGGGAAGGATAAAATTATAAATTTTCCATCACTTCGCTCTTACGTTGAATCAAGATGTCAATTTTTTCTTTGCATATCTTCTCCTCGTTTACCAGAACTTGCAAATCTATAAACGGCTTGTCTTGTAAACCTTTATAAAAAATCTCAATTGCTGCATAAGTATAAGTGGGGAAAAAAATTTGTACCTACAACTGTATTCATTAACATATTCAAATATAATTCCTGAATACCTATCTTCGAATGGATACACGGTAGATATGTGTACTGAAATATTGGGACCAATATGTGAAATATCCAATTATATGTTGATCATATAGTTATAATTGTTATGACTATTAAGTTATAGATTTGATGTTAATTTCAATGATCCAAAGTAATTATCTCTTTTCAAAATCAAAATTAACAAATATGTTAACGAACATATTCGTCAACAACAGTCTGCTACTGTCGTCATCAGCTGAGCTTCAAACAAGTACCAGGGTGTTTTGTGAAATCAACGGACTATATATTATTAGAGCATTCACACTTTATCTTTCTTTAACTAGTAAATAATAAGCAATTGTTTATTAAATATTTAAACATTAGTCATATTTTTATTTCTCTTTTTCCCTTCACAGTCCAATCTTTTAACTTGGAATTGTTACTTTTCGACATTTGTTCTTATTAAAATTTTGTAGATTCCAACGAGGAAAAAAATTTGATATTTCTTCAATGTATTTGTGAAATTAATCTATATCTATATCAATTTAAAAAAAAATCTATTTTTATATTTATAATGTTATAGTTGTCAAATTATAATATAATAACAATAAGACATGCAAAAATAATAATATAAAAAAGGATTTTTCAAATAGGTGTCCCAGGGGACCCGTTAATTTGGATATAACATACTGTATATTAGTTTCTAATTGCCAATTAAGGCTTCCCTTAATATGTGCTTATTGTCAATTTACTAAACTCATATTTCTATAAAAACCCAGCATATAATGGACATTATCAAGACTAAAAAAGAAATTAAAATAGTAAGGGGAAAAAACTTCTATTTATCTCTTTTTTACTTCCCTCTAAATAACATTTTTCCCTCCAAATAGTAATTAAAAAGAACTATGCAAACTATGTTAAGTGACATAAGTATTCAAATTATGTGCACCACATATTTTCTCATTTCAACAAAGATTTCTTAACTTATTGTGGACCTATGATTTCTCCTTTAAACTGCGAAAGTACGAGACTTTTTAGTTTTAATTTTGTTTTCTATATAAGTGAAGACAATTTAAGTTTTTTTTTTCCTTTATATTTGTTGGAGGGAAAATATTACCGTGAGGGAAGTAAAAAAAATAAATGTCTTTTTTCCCCTTTACTATTTTAATTTCGTTTGAGGCTTAATAATGTTCAGAATATGTTGTTTGATAATAAGCACAAACTCTATGATTTGAAAAGAAACCTCCCAAACTTCTTCACACTCTCTTCAACTGTAAAGGACTGTCAACGGTCACCCGCCATCACGAACGGTAAAAAAAAAAAAAACTCTTCAAAAGTATTGCATGGAGCATTCAATCACATTGCTCAAATGACTATGAACTCCAAAGAAATGCTACCCTTCTCTTTGATCTCAAAAACCCATCCCCAGACCGAAGCACTCCTCTCTCTCATCCACCAAACCCGATACCAGATAAGCCCCAAATCCGCCGTTGCCATCCTCTTGAAATCCAATTCAAACCCTGCCCACCTCAAACAAATCCATTCCCTCCTCTTAACGACTGGCCTAACCCACAAAAACAGTCTCTTAACTCGCCTCCTCGAAAACCTTATACGAATCGGCGACATTCGTTACGCCCGCAAGCTGTTCGATGAAATTCCCAAACCAAGAGTTTTCCTGTGGAGCACCCTTATAAGAGCTTATTTCAATGACAACCTTCCCTTTGATGCCATATCTCTTTATCTTCAAATGGGTTCGGCTAATGTTCGACCCGATAGCTTCACATTCCCGTTTGTGGTCAAGGCGTGCGCTGAGGTTCTCAATGTGAGACTTGGAATGGCTGTTCATGGGCAGATTGTTAAGTATGGATTGCATGAGAATGCCATTGTTGGAACTGAATTGATGGTTATGTATGCAAAGTTTGGGGATTCAGAGTCGGCGGACTGTGTGTTTGATTCTGGCGGCGGCGGTGATGGTTTGAGTAGAGATTTGGTTTTTTGGAATGCTTTGATAAGTGCTTATGCACAAAATGGGAATGCGAGCAGGGCCCTTGCTTTGTATAGGAGAATGGAGTCGGATGGGATCGAGCCTGATGCAATCACGCTGGTGAGCGCTATTTCGTCGTGTGCTTATTTGGGTTGCTTGGATTTTGGGAGGCAGCTGCATTCTCGTGTTAAAGAGAGAGTTCGTAATGTGTACATAGAAAATGCGCTTATCGATATGTATTCGAAATGTGGAAGCATGGATGAGGCTAGTAAGGTGTTTTCTGAAATGGGTGACAGACGAAATGTTGTATCGTGGAGTACTATGATTGGTGGCTATGCTGTTAATGGCGATTCTGATAAAGCTCTATCTTTGTTCTCTAGAATGAAGGATGATAACGTGAAGCCAAACTCTGTAACAATGCTTGCAGTTCTCTCTGCTTGTAGCCACGCTGGGCTTGTTAGTGAGGGAAAGAAATATTTCTACAGCATTTCTCGTCCTACAGCTGAGCATTATGCGACTATGGTCGATCTCCTTGGTCGATCAGGGCATCTCGAAGAGGCGTTTAGCTTCATCAAGAATATGCCAATCGAGCCTGATGCAGCTGTATGGGGGGCATTATTGGGATCTTGCACGATTTATCATGATACTAGTATTGGTCAGATCGCTGCTGATGAGCTTTATAAATTAGCCCCCAGCACGCCTTCATATCAAGTTCTTCTATCGAATATGTATGCAGTTTCAGAGAGATGGGACGATGTGCATAAAATTAGGAAACATATGAGAGGGAACAATTTGAAGAAAGTTTCTGCTTATAGTTCAGTTGAATTGGATGGAGAGGTCCATGTGTTCTCTGAGGGCTCACGTTCTCAGTGTAAGGAGATTTATGAGAAACTCGGCGAGCTGGATGGAATTGTTAAGGCTATGGGGTATAGAGCTGAGACTGGAATTGTTCTGCACGATGTGGAGGTTGAGGAGAAAGAGGCAGCTCTTCGAACTCACAGCGAGAAGCTTGCCATTACATTCAGTCTTTTGTATTCGAGGGGAGATGATGAGGGGGTTCCATTAAGGATTATGAAGAATTTGAGGGTATGCAATGACTGTCATACTTTCTTTAAATACGTATCAAAGGCACTTGGAAGGGAGATTATCATGAGAGATAAGAATCGATTTCACCATTTTAGAGATGGTAGATGTTCGTGCAATGACTTTTGGTGATTCAGAGATCGAAGGTTAAGCTCAGTTGAATTTCAAATTGAAGGTACTACTTAGAGTAGAAACACAATTTTTTGTTCCAATGAATTTTCAGATTTAGTTCTAATTTACAAAAGCAAATTTTACTAATATCCCTTTTGCTTTGGATTACTTGTTTATATATTCTCAGATGTCCTAGGTTAAATTAAAAAAAAAAATCAGTTGTATGTGCTACTTGATTTTGTTTACTGAAGCTCAATACACAAGAAAATACCTTCTCGCTTGGTTGGTTCTATTTCCTATATGACCTGTACTTAAATACCTTTACTTCCTTTTCTCATTTATATATTCTACTACTGAATTTGACAGCATTTCATGTATTAAGTAGTAAACTAAGGCAGTGAACTTTTGACCTGTTTTAATCCACAACCAATCTATATGGTCCTTTCATTTCAATATTAAAATAGGGATAATACATGAAAACTTAAAAGGAGTTATAATGCATGAAGCCTTGAGTTAGTCCGCCATCCACTTTACTGAGTTGGCTCCAAGAGTAAATCATATTGATCCTTAGTTGATAATTAATTTGTGGGTAGTCGCCTTTTTCTTTCATTGTATCGGATTTATTAAGTGGGCACCAAGAGTTTAGTGTTAACAAGTCTCGAGTCAGTTTAAGCTTACAGAACCTCATTCACAAGAGGAAGCTTCATAGAAAATCGCATTCATCAGGACTCATCATATAATACACATTGCACTTGACGTTATACAGAAGTCCCTAGTATTGCAATCTATCATAGAATTTAGACCCCTTGAGCAAACTGCACAAAAACTCCCCTGCAATTTTTTTTCACTTTGGTAATCATGTGTTTGTTCTCAGTTCCAGAAAAGCTACTTCCTTTTTATTTTTTATTTTTTTGCACATATAATTAAAACATGATTTTAATAATCCAACATTACCATTACATCCATATTTCCGATAACATTCTGACCACGTACTAGAACTAAGAGTGCTGTATGTTTGCATCTTTATCTCTTTGGAGTTCAGTATGTATATCATGAGGTATGCAATGAATGTAGTTCATTTATTGCTCGTGTTGCTTTTATTATTTCTTGGTGACAAAGTAGTACAACTCAATGCAACCAATGCATACCAGAATAGTTCGAATGAATTGTCCTCGGCCAATAATTTAGGAACAATGAGAAGCAATAAGTATACAAGGGCACCTCATGTTATTGCTAAAGGAATCAATATCGTAAAGGATATGAAATGACATAATGTTAATTGCTGTAGGCTATCTAAAAATCACAACAGATAGCCAATCCCCATCAAACACCAATGATGGAAGTTACAATCTGACGACTTTCAGAAGGCTACAATTTGAAGACTTTCACGTAGAAGGTTACAATCTGACGACCTTCACAACAACTAATGAAAGCTCTAATTCAACAGCCTTCACAATCAACATCGGGAGTTATAATCTGATGACTCTCATATTTTTAAGGAGCCAAGACGAAGGTTACAAGGTGATGATCTTTACAACGCTCTAGCAAAATAGACTATAAATTAACGGTCTCTTCATATCAAAACATAGATATCTCTCAAACCGGAAGGAATTTGGTGAAACGGAGGGAGCAAACCGAACCCTATGGGGTCGGTTTGATCAGCTCCGTCTCGTAGAGATAGCCGATTTTTATATATAATTCGTCTCATTCCGACTTACGGTTTGAAAGTATGACCTGTTCTTCGCAGCAAGTTATGTTCTGAAGTCCGTCTGTAAGACTGCACTTCGCCTAAACATTAGACTTAGCCTGAAGCTTGCCGAACCCGTCTGAGGCTCACATCTGCATCCAAGATTCAAAACGCAGAGGTCATGCCCGCATTCTGAACTCAAAATGCAGAGATCATGCCCGCGTTCTAAACTCAAAACGCAGAGGTCGTGACCGTATTTGAGATTCAAAACGCAGAGGTCGTGGCTGCGTTCCAAACTCGAAACGCGGAGCTCGTGGCTACATTCCAGAGTCAAAACGCAGAGTTCGTGGACTCAAAACGCAGAGTTCATGCAGAGCCCAACCCTGCGTCCCAGGTCAAAAACGCAGAGTTCATGCAGAGCCCAACTCTGCGTTTCAGAGTTCACAATGTTGTGTGACCTGTGCATTTTCAGCCTAAAACAGGCCCAACTCTACGTTTGATGTCTAAAACGCAGAGTTCGGGTCCAGAACGTCATTTTCGACGTTTGCCCAACTCTACGTTTGATGTCTAAAACGCAGAGTTCGTGCCCAGAACGTCATTTTCGACGTTTGACTCGTTCAAACACGGACTGAACAGTTTCAGAAACCGTTTTCCCCCCACGATTTGAGGGATTTCCGCCCCACTTAGGAGCGGATTAAGGGGACAGTTACCATCCTTAATCCCCTATAAATACCAGAAACTCAATTGAGTTAGGGGATCAGTTTTTTGCATAAAAAATAGATCGCAAAAGGAGAGATCGGCAACCTCTTGAGCAGATCATCTTGTTAGACCCTAGAGGGGGGGTGATTAGGGTCTTATACTAATCTAATCCGATTAAATACCAATTAAAATTAATTAACAAGTTATCCTACCAAGTATGAAATATAACAAGAATATAAGCTAGGATAAGCAATATGAACAATGAGATATATCATATATGATAGAAATATATGCAATGATATATAAACAATAAGATATATCCTAACAAAGAGATATAGACAATGTATGTGCAAGGATATAAAACTAACACAAGGGTAAACAATATGAACTAGATAGTGGATCATATAAATAATGAGCTATGGACAATGGCGATATAAGATATGAACAGAAATATAAATGAACGCCAAAGCACACTCAAACACACTATATGATCACAGAGTTCGGACCTTCCGTCCTACGTCTCCGCTCCCCACTCCCGGGGAAAAATCCACTATCACAACCGGATTTTCTACGTTCACCCGAACAACGTTTATACCTCACACTCGGTTTTCTAGCTAACCGAAAACTTTACAATCAACACTCTTGCAATCACACTCTACACCCTCACAAGTGTTGGACCTAGCCGTGTCTCCCTCAAGTGCTCGGTTATAACCTCTCCCTAGGCTCGTCAACCGACATCACTCCTCTTGGAACGATCCCCGACGCCTCAACACTTCCTCTCGGTGTCAAAGTGTATTACAAAGAATCTCACCAATAAGTGCTCAATCGAAGAGAATGTTGTGTTCTCTACTATGGATGAGAACACAATGGAACTCACACTCAATTGTTACAACTCTCCAACCAAAATCTTTTATGAAGTAAATACAATTAAGTCAATGGGATGTGTGATAACAATGAGATAAACAATTAACTCAAATAGCAAACTGCCAATAATAGATTATGAAACTCATAATAAAATTGCCTAGCGAAAAGAGTTAGAAACTTCCTCAAGTTAGATCAGAGGTTAGCAAGTGGATTTTGGATGCCAACATCAATAGATGTCTCCTCAAGCTTATGTTTGAAATTATTTCTCAAAACTATCAAACTTCAAATGATTAAAAGTTCTTAAACACATTAAACCAACTAAAACTTGTTAAAATCTGTTTACTTGCTGTTAAAACTCTCTTTGTGTGTGTATGGAAAATGTTATGACAAAGGGGTTTTATAGGCTGAGAAACCACCCCGAAACCAAAAAACCATTAAAAAACAAAAACACCAGCAACTACCGTTACTGTGTAACGATCGGCTGCTACAGTACTTCGTCTCGCCGGTACGGATCGACCGTGAGCCATATGCAAGCTGATAAGTTAACGTTTCAGGAGTTTGAGCGGTTCTGATGCGGGTATGTAGCACTGCGTATCAACTTTGTAAAATCAATTAAAAATAGTAAAACAGCTCCAAAAAATATAAAATTTTGTGGGAAGGTTATAGACATGTAGAATAACATGTTAGAGAAAGAATTTCTGAAAAATCATTTCCCAGTTGAGAGAAACAAATGTTTGAACACAGATTTACAGTTTCTAAAAAACTGCTGACATACACGATTTTGTAAAATCAATTGGGCACAGTAAATCAACTCCAAAAATAGTAAAATTTTGAGGAAAGTTTCTAAACATGTAGATAAAAATGTAAAAGAAAGAATTTATTGAATATCACTTCCCATTTATGAAAACTCATCTGTTTTGTAAAACATGCATGAACATGCACGAACGAAAAACATGATTTTGTAAATTCCATTAAACATAACAAATCAATTCCAAACTTGATGAAACTTTGCGAAATGTTTATAAACATGAAAAAAAACATGTTAGAAAAAGAATTTCTCAAATTGAATTTCCATTTGTGAAAACTCATGTATTTTGCAAGTATGTCCAAAACATAAAAACCCAAAACCATGCATGTATATATATAACTATATATATACATAGAAGCCAAATACGTGTGCGTATATGATATTGAGTTTAAGGTACTTAACACACATAATATAAAACCTAAACTAGATTACCCAAGCCGATCTTGATCTTCAATAAGCGTGACTTGGTACACTTTGCGGATGAAGCTTGAACTTGATCTTTAACTTGAATTGTATGTTGCTTCACTCCACAATTCCGCCAACCTCCATTTGATATCGTCGTTGAAGCGCTATTCCATTCATCCTCCAACTACGTTGTTTGTCTATAATAAATAAGAAAACACAAATACTAGACAAACAACATTAGTGGTAAATTGTTTGTTAAACATCATCAAAACAAGAAGGCCAACACATCTTCGGATCTTGGAGATTTCTCGGATCTAGAGATCAGAAAAGGGGGTCTTCGCTCAATCTCTGGAGCATTCCTTGGAGCTTTCATCATTAGCTTATTAACCGATTTTCGGTTCAAATCAACTCTTTTTTTAAGAGTTTAAACTCGTTCTGAGTTATCAACTCGTTCAGAGTTTCAAACTTGCCACACAAGTTAATTGTTCCCGCGAGATAAGACGGTCGGATCGTCAACGGAGAGTATATTCGATGCGAGCATTCGAAGGAAGCATTCCATCGCTACTGTGAAGAACCCAGAATTAAACAAAGTGGAGAATCCAGATTATTCTCCTCTCTTTTGTAATCGGAATCCAAATTATAATTAAGATCTAGAGAATACAAGT